CAGCAAAGTATGTAATTTTTTTTCCCCCCCCAGGCACTTGGTTATGATTCCAAACAGCTGCTTCCAGCTCTCTCTGCTCTACTTCCACAAACTTCCTGTCCAGTACAAGATCACAAGAGAGAGCACTCTCCAGCAACGATATATCTACTAGCTTGGGGAAGGGAAGAGAGGGGAATAAGGCAGTGTATTGCCTTGCTGTCTCTGTGTTTATGGAGACACACAAGGGTGGCTCCATAGGACCCTGCAAGGGAAAGGAGCCACCTTAAAACAGGATATCGGGGCTAGTGCTCAGGGGACCAGCTGATTCTGCAGGAAACTAAAGCTTTCAAACAATTGAGGAGCAGCTTCCATTGTAAATGATTTATCCAGCATTTGAAATTAGCTTAAAAGCATTTTGACTTTAATATCACTTCTGAAATCCTAATCACCATAGCAGATGTCTGTTTTGATATTGTTTGTCATTTCATATATGACTGGACAGCTCTTGTTTATTACTTTCACAGATTGCTCATTATCCCTATTCCTCCAGTTGAAAAAACAAAACAAAACTGCACTGTATTGTATGCTAAACCGCCTTTCTTGTAGAATAATTGAAAAGCAATAAACTGTTATAGTTTATCATTTGCTTGAGGCGTTTGTAAAAACATGTTGTCGTCGTTATTATTATTATTAATAACTACAACAATAAACAAGAGAATGTGCCAGAAAAAAAGCAGACCAAGAATAAAATGGTCTCTTATGATACCACTCAAATCAGAATTGGCAAGTTAAAATGTACAAACTGTGAACAACTGTGACTGTCAGTCATCTGTGAGCATCCACATTGTGGAATTTAAAGGCTTTAAATTGCAAGTTTGGTAATACGTTCGCCAAATGCCATTTTCCAGTACAGAACAAACGTAATCGGTTTCATTTCTAACTGCAAGCATATTATTTATAAGCAATCAAGCAACCTCCTGCCAGAGGTGTTCTGTCTTGGATAAGTTCCCAAATACTAAATCCCTTTCCTGATTGCTATAGCTTCCCTGGGCACTGACCTGTATGTAAATGGTGGGGGGGGTTACAGTAATGAAATATGTATTAATATCATTGGATAAATCATGACTGTCAGATTTCCCCATGAGGTATTGTGTCCAGAAGATGTACCAAGAAGGAAAGCACTATTCCAGCTTCTATTTTGGTGAATTAAGAGCTGGCTGTTTCATAAACTGGATACACCATGTGAACAAAATTATGAATCTGTTAGGTTTTCAGAGCTTCAGATATCATTGTGTTTTTTTATGTATGCAAATCGTTCCTTTTTAGTAGTATAAGTAGACCAAGCCAGCCAATCTAGATACTTCAGTTGTGGGTGGCCAGAGGTAGGATAAACCACATCCTGGTTTTTTGGATCCCTCCAAAGCTTAGCTTGGTAGAAAGATTGCCCTGCACCAGTTTCTCTTGCAACTGCACCTTTTATTTGTATACTCTGTTAGCCATGGCTGTTTTATATTGGAGATATGCTTATTTAACTATTCAATTTATTTAAACCTGAAGTTTAACCTACTTGTATTGTCCCCTAATTGGTTCACCCCCACCTCTGCACAATTAACATGGTAATGAAAATACAAAAAACAAAACCTTCCATTTTCATTGCCTTATTTCGGACCCAGTGACATCATTATTGGTCTATGGTCTTTTCTGTGCAATGCAGGCAGATCATGGCTGCTAGGCTGCTGCCTCAATGCTCTTTACAAGTCTTCAGCCCTGATGCAAGCAGCCATATAACTCGTGGGAGGGGTTAGCCAAATATCAAAATGCTTTTGATGAGTGGATGTTAGTCTGGAGGAGTGGGCATTCCATGGCAGACTGCGTTTTTATGCAGACTGCCCTAGGTAATGCCCACATGTCATGCTGATCTTCCATGATTGAAAGAATTATAGTCCAATAAATGAAAGTGGTGGGCCAGGAACAGTAAACTGGGGAGGAAAAAGCTAAAGGATGCTGGTTGCCCTCCAGCCAGGAAATTAGGCTGACTCTATCTGATTAGAGAAGCTTGCAGTAAAATCAGAATATGTACAACTGTGCGAGACTAAAGTTCAGCTTTAAGTGTATTTCTAGTATTACTACTGCAAATGTCTATATAGTGACTTTCCACAGTCCACTGAGCATCAGGAAGCAGTCATGCGGCAGTTTATTGCACAGTGCTGCAATCCTCCTTTATTTTCAAGCAGTGGCAGCTAGAAAAATAAGTGTATTGGCCTTTTTACAGAAGACGGAGGACACTGGGGATCTCACCTTAGAGGATGCTCTTTCATATGATGGTACATTTCCAATTGCAAGCAAAATCCATTGAAAGAAGAGATTGAGCAGAAGATTAACCATATGTCTAATTTTACTTTTATCACAGTTTCATAAAGCCCTGTCCAGGCTTTGCTTTTAGGTCTATGAGCCCGCACTCATTTAGAGGTTTGTAAAGTTCTCTTAGATCATAAATTGTACAATCATATTGTAATGTGTGTCTGGATAATATATGCTATGTAAACATAATCTGGTATGAGAGGCTGTTCGGTTGTAAACAATCTAATCTTGTAAACTAAGTATACTGAGAATCGGCGTAAGGAACAGGAGGGAGTCAGTGAATCATAATTAACAGACTCTTTAGACCATGTCACCTTCTTGCACTGCAATAGAAATCTCATTATCATGAAAAATGAAGTGGAGATGTAATTTATGATGCAAAGAAGAAAATGTCAGGTTGCTATGAGTTACCTGTAGAATTTTTAGTAACTTGTAGACCTCCTGAAATGCTCTTCTCTGTGATGACTGGTCATATGCTTTGGAATTTGGTGACGAGATGTCAACCGAAGGGGCTTGGAGACTTAAGCTGGCCATACACTGTTCGAAGTTTGGCCAATCCTGCTGACTAAGCCAACATTCAAACTCCTGTGTGACCCTGCTGGCACCACTCAGCTCGCCCAAATTATCGACTTTTGTTGAAGCAGCTAGGTGGAAAATTGTCAGGTGAAAAGTGATTTCAGCCAATCGGCTGCAATCGCTGTTCAGGTATTCTGACAGCGACAGCCGTCAGTACAATAGCCCTGCAGGGTAACTCCATCTAGCCACGCTGTTTATTGTGCATGGATTATACTGTTATATTTCTTTGGTTCAGCATGTAGGCTGTACTAAAATCTTTTATTGTATGGCCAGCTTTAAGTTGGGAGTCACAGTAATACATCCATTAATTGCATTGATAAGCAGTGTTTGTGTTTGTTTTTTTTTCAGTTTTTTCTTTTATAGTTGACTTGATAGGTCAGCGCATCAGAACTACAGCACTAAAGACTTTTGTTTTTTGCAACGCGTTGATTGCATTTCTGTTAAAAGACCTATTGAAAAGAATGCATTTTCTCCTATCTGTGCATTTTACTGCGTTGGGAAGTACCGCAAAATGCATGACAATGTTTCTGCTTTAAACAGGCCCAGATATTCTGGACAATCGGCACCTCTGCCTAAAACCAAGATGTTCCCCTTCAACTGGGTTCATATTACTAATGACAATATTGTAGGATGCATTTTTGTGTTCAATGTTTTTGCATATATTTTCTTGTCCTGCCATTCATGTGGATGTTATTTTGACACGTACCACCTACCTAAACATTGTTGCTGACCAAGTATACCTCTTCATGGACAATGGTCTTTCCTAAAGGCAGTGGCCTCTTGCAGCAGGATAATGCATCCTGCCATACTGCAAACATAGTTCAAGAATGGTTTGAGGAACACGACAAAGAATTTGAGGTGTTGACTTTGGCCTCCCAGATCTTGAGATCTAGATCCAATTGAGCATTTGTGGGATGTGCTGGAAAAACAAGTCCGATCAATGGAGGCACCACCTCGCATCTTACAGGACTTCAAATATCTGCTACTGATGGCATGGTGCCAGATATCACAGCATACCTTCTGGGGTCCAGTGGAGTCCATTCCGTGATGAGTCAGGGCTAACTGAACACTAAAAGGGTACAAATGTTATCTGTTTTTTTGGGGGCGTGTAACCCATTACGGTTCTCTTATTTGGAAACTGACCTGAGTTTAGTTGGTGGCTCTGACAAGCAGATGTTTTTGTTTTAATTTATGGACTTACTTCACAAAACCCTTCTGCATTGAACTGTGTTTCTTTGCTGCCTTGTAGAATAAAAGTGCAGGATAACCCTGCTTGGACTGTTTCTGGGTTTTTTCCCCTGCCAAGCAAAAAAAAAAAGGAAGTGCCATTTTCTTTTTTTAAGTGCACACCAATGCCACAAGATATATGACATAAGGCAATTGCCTTGTTGCTGCAATGGGACTGCATTGGGTAGTGCTACCTCTTATTAAAGGAATCGCACAAGCAGCATTGGGCAGTGCTGCTCAGCACAGCCCAATGCTGCTTGTGTGATTCCTTTAATAAGAGGTGCAGGTTGGTCATGGGAGGCAGGATTGTGTTTTCACTGCAGGTTCACTTGAACAGTTCTGAAGTTTGGATTGCCAAGGTTTGTGAGAAGTCTATTAGCAAATTATGCAGAAAATGTTACGTTACAATGATTTATTTGTGAGTAAATTTCGTTTAGAATTTTTTATTTTTTTTCCTTCTAGTGTATGCAGGACATGGGAAACACAAAGGCAAGACTACTGTATGAAGCTAATCTTCCTGAAAACTTTAGAAGACCTCAAACGGACCAGTATCCTTTAACACAGTGATTTGGGATTGATTACACTTTCCTGTCTCTCTTTGCAATAAATGATATTGGTTTAAGCTAAATATTAAATTAAAATGTGAAAAGAGATTGAAAGGAAAGTCCTAAAATATACATTTTAAATAGTGATTGCTCACATGCATGATTATAAAAAAATGTAAATGAGTATACAAAATACTAAACAAAGTTGATTTTAGTTGTCATAAACTTGTATAAGTATTTAGACATGTTTAGGAAATGTTTGGTCTCCGCAAATACATCCCTGTCACAATATGCAACAGAATTCAACAATATAATTTCATTGTAAACAATAAAACGGGTACTGCACCGCAGTCAACTATGTAAATTATGTAATTGGTCTACCACAACCAGAAGGAAGCATTTCTCCAGCTTCCCCTCTCCCAGGAATCACAAAGACTATGTTGTAATGTTGCGACCACTCACAAGGTAGCAGTGGGGGCTCATCTACAATGTTTATATACAGTGGGGGCTCATCTACAATAGTGTTTATATACAGCCACGAATATAAACACTATTGCTCTAGCAGAGGGATGAAATTGTTTTATCTTGGGTAAGAAAGCTCTTTTGTGTGAATCAATGGTACCTCACACGGCTCATCCTTCCTCTGTGTGCAGCCCACTGAGTGTTGGGCACCAGGTAAGCAATGGCTCCCAATTGGTACCCTGCACGCTGGCAATTTTTTGTTTACATTTCAATTGTTTGTCACGAATTCTGGTGCTGGCACAATTATAATGTAAACAAAGGCTGACCATTTGCAGGGTACAGATCCTTGCATGCAAGCTGGCTCCTAAAGTTCTAGCAACATCCCTGTAACGGGGTCCAAATGTAATAAGCTGTAGAGACTGTTAATTCAAGCCCTCAGCTCTCAACTGGAGCAGAGTCAGTCTCCTGTACAGCACTGGTCACATGTCTACATAATGTATGTTCCACCGTACATTAATACAACTCCAGTGTTCTAATGTTAAGCTGTTGTGTGGCCCTCTGAATTTGAGCCCCCCCCATATTAGTTGACCGCATCTGGTCTTGAAGATGCTGACCGTAGATGGTGCCGAAACAAACATGGTACCATTCAGAAAGGACAAATGTCAAAGTGAAATGTTCTCTTCATAATAAATGCTTTCTGCCCATTACTATGCATGCATCCACTTAAAGAGCATCTAAAGGCAAAACTTTTTATTTTTGGATAGAGTGTTGAGAAGTTAGAATGCCTGTTGGGCAGGCAGGGGCCCACTACGTAATCAAATTACAGTGTAATCAATTCAGGCACCGCAATGCTATTACCTTTTATAATATTAGTTGGGCAATGGGCAAAAAAAATTTGCGATTATGCATTCAAGTTCAACAAGAGCACATCTTCCATAGTCTGTATTACAGTATTTACAAATATGATTGTGCGTTCTGTAACTGCTTTGAGATATGGGTCAGGACCTTGTGATTACTTCATTTGTAATTCACATGGGTGATTGCACTGGCCTCTCAATAATCTGACCCTACTCTCTGCAACACACTGTTATGTGAAAACGTATGTTGTGTTAGACATCTGATTGCTTATCAAAACTGCTATTTATGCACCTAAATTGTCTCACACTTTGAACTTGAACAACATTTGACCAATGTGTTTCCAGCCCCCTGATGCCACTCATAATTGTCAAGATGTTTTCTCTTACAGGACATATTGTACTCTTAGTCTATTACCTCTTCCAGTGCCTGTGTTGCCTTCATTTTGTAAAGTGAATGTAATTTCATTTGTGAAGTTGGAAGAGCATAATTTCTCTTGTGGGATGCAGTTAATTATAGTCCACACGTACCCTTAAATGACAAATGATAGTTTTACATTAAGCTTTCCATTATTAGGATTTCAGGTCTTATCTCAAAATTTTAATTACTTTAGTTTCCTGAGATCTATTGTGCAGCAGACCTAATCAACAGTTCTGTTCCTTTGAGGTTGTTTGATCTTTTCAAAGTTGTTCTGTTGTCAATGGGATGCGCCTGCAAATGTAAGATTTACTTCACTATGATTTACTTTTCTATGGGGCTAAATGGTAATTTAATTGTCTGCAAACTGGTTGCGTTCAGAGGAAGTCAGAATGCATATTTAATCAGTGTTCCAGCTCACATTAGGATGTAAGGACTGCATGCCCACCTAACCTTCCCTGTGGGGCTCATGCTAATTTCATTGTTCGAGGAAAAGAAAAAAATAATGTAATGGATGACATTTCAAGCATAAGAATAACCTTTTGGTCTGCAGATTACCTTATCTTTTATTGCGAAGGAAATTTTGTTAAAAATTTTCTTCCCACGGCAGCAATAGCTTAGTGAAAGTGTCTGCGTTGGTATCTTACACAATATGCTGTTTTCACATAAATTCCCATATTCATTTGTATGCCGAGTTATTAATGGGACAGAAGGGCTGTACTGTGTATTTACAAAGAAAGTGTTAATCCTTGCCATCATAATAGGCAGCAGCTATGCCCCTTAGTGACAGAGATGAGCTCACCAGTCTGCTGCTTCTCTTTTTTACCTTCCAGTCACAGACTGGGTTATGGACAAGACCTGTAAGTACTCGACTACAGCTGAAAAATGTCTTCTGCCCTGCCAAACATGACCGTGCTGTGTGGCAGAACTGTGTTAATATCAGGACTAGATAGACAAACACAACTCTTTTGGCATGATAGTTTACCCTTTTGAGGCATTCCTAAAGTGTTCTTTACCCACACCCACATGTCTCCTACATAACTCTTGCAGATCATATAATAAATATGTTGAAATAGCTACCAGAATCCAGGATAAGGTGCTTCTGGTGTTTAGTGTCCTGCTCTTCCTGGCCAGATTATTTTTACATATGTGACTCAGGGTGGGATCTGTGTGCCGCAGAAGCAATGACACAAACTGGAGTAAAAAAAATAAGAGGCTCTAGCCTTTTCTCAAACCCCTGAAAAAAGCTTCTGAAAAATGTTGCCTCTAGATAAAGTGTATCTAGAGGCAACATTTTTGTTTTTTTATATTTTTGATAGTAATGAGTTGGAACTAGGTATGCACAAATACCGTTTTTTTGGTAGTGAGTACGAGTACCGATATTTATATTTTGGTGCTCGCTGATACCGAATACTGATACCTGTACTTCCAGTAGCATTTTTCCTGCATTTGCCCATCTTCCTGGGCAATCGGGAAGCCTGGCAGCTTGTCCATGCTGTTTGGCTGGTTCGATGCTGATTGGCCTGGAAGCCAGCTTCCCAGCCGTTCAGCATGGAGCCACCTTCCCGGCCAATCAGGGAGGCGGGCCATTACCTGCAGCCCGGCTTCCTGATTGGCCGGGAAGCTGGCTTCATGCTGTTTGGCAGGCTCAATGCTGATTGGCCAATCCGCATCGAGCCAGCCAAACAACATGGAGTCGGCTTCCTCGCCAATCAGGAAGCAGGCTCCATGTTCCCTCGTGGCACTGCTGCTCAGAGGAAATCTCCCTTTGACCGGAATTTCCGGTATCGGGATAAGTATCGGTGCATTTGGACGAGTAAGTACTCGTCTGAATACTATGTCAGTACCAATACTAGTATTGGTGCATTCCTAATTAGAAACTCTGCTTTTTTTATTGCCATCTTTGCTTGAGAGATTCATCCTAGTTGCCCTAGTGATCATTGTCTCAGTGAAGATCCCAAATTTTTAGTTAATTTCTGAGCGCTCAGTGAACAAACTGGTTACTCTCCAGTTCGGACACTGGTTCTTCTCCTCGGGATCATTGCAGGTGCTGAGCTCATCCACACTATTGTATCCCACATTCATAGACCAAACTGCACTATATATGTGCAGTGAACATAAAGCTTTTTTTCTTCGTATTGCATTGTTTTCACACTGTCATCCCCATCCTGGACCGTGCAACACTAACGTGTTTTACCCAGTTTGGCTTAATCCTAGAGAGATTGCTATGATTAAGCCCAAATGGGTGAAACATTGGTGAGACAGTGTGACCGGGATGCAATACTAAGAACAAAGCTTTATTATCAGTGCAGATACTGAGTACGGTTTAACCACCTCAGTAAGGGAGCAATTTTGTAATTTTTGTACACACATACTACAATCTTGACTTTTGGAATGAAAATTACTTTAAACCCTCAAACAAGTACATATTTTCTGAAAGTAGAGGCCCTGTAAAATAAAATAATGGTAGCTGCATTTTTTTCATGTTGCATGATATTGACACACGTTTATTGAATCGATATCTTTTTATATCATCGATATATAGTAATACACAAAAATGTGTAACTTTATCACATGTGTGCTTTTCTGCTGAAATGTAAAATAACGCATCGCACACACCAAAAGCCTGTCTAGCATTGACTCTTCTGTGATCCCATTGTGTTAATGCCCAGAAGCACAGATAGCCTTACTTGGAAATTCAATTTATTCCAGTCCCATGACACTAGAATGTCATATTATACCCCCATCTTGTGCCCTGTTTATACTATAGACATGATCAGCTGAGCAAAGCCATATGGGAATTAATGTATCCTTATTGGCTGAAACTTTTTAATTCTGTCCCTGTCACTTGGACACAAAACCCCAAAGGATGCAGAAATCAAGCTGATGCCTCCTTATGACATTTGAAGTGGAAAATGCAGAATATGTATATTGAATTGTCTCCTTGCCATTGAACAACTAATAAATAGATTTTCACAGCAAATAAAAAAAACACTGAATTAAACAAAATGACTCCATTATTGACATTTACATTACCATTGGTGATATGAAACTTGTCCCTGTATTAAAATCAAATACTGTTTTTAATGGCTATCTTACTGTGGAAGAACGAAAATCTCAGTGACTAGAATCCTGCTTTGAATTTGGCACATCATCTACATCATCTACATTATCCTTTTCACAGGCATGTCGATGTGCAGGATTTTCTCCAGATTATACATGTTTATTGCTTTCACTGTCAAGGTCACTTTGCATGATGTAAACCATCATACGCTGCCTTTGGCATAGTTATTGGAAAGCAATAGCAATTAAAGGAAATACAATTATTTTTAATATTCTTAACCGACTGTTAAGACATTATTAGATTGCAGTTTTTTTTTGTTTTTTTTTGCTCTGCTTATTTAGCAGTTTGCAGGATGTAGCTTTTTCCATCTACCCTGTTTATAATGTGGCTGAAGACTTCCCCAAGTAGGATTGACCAGCATAGTTATAAGCCTATTAGAAAACCCTCCTTACATATTAGTTATTTTTTCTTATGCTCAGTATCCGGTCTCATTTCATGGGCTTTTGCCTGGGGATCCTGTTGTCTATACTTGGAAGGTTTGCACAGTTGTAGCCTTACTCAATAAAACAACATACAGTGTTTAACCAATTAAAATAAATAATTTCCTTTATTTGAGTACAGCATACGAAAATATGAATTGGTAGTCAGGCGTTGCTACGTTTTTAATATGCCTATTGGTCTGGTCTTTAGGTCAGCGTAGCCACTCTGAAGAAATATTTTGTTCATAGCACATCAATGGTAATGTAGGCAGTGCATGGCCATGTGTAACATATAATCTGTAAACCCTTAGTTTAGCAGCAGCATGTTCAACAACAATTAGATCATTTGCATATGTAAATATAAAGTTCCTTGCAACTGTAATCAAAGGTATTTAATACCATCATTTAGGGCCCATTCACACCACATCCAGATCATCACCAGACCAGATTGTTTCCGGACCCTAATGTATCCCTTTGTTATTTCTGACCTCTGTTCACACCAGTGCAGTCCGTTCCAGACCAGAAAAATACTGCATGTCTCATTTTGTCTGGTCCGGAATGCACTGGAACTGCGGGCAGGTTCACACCATTTCCCGGAAAAAAAACAACTTGTTGCACTCATTGCGAAAAGTTTCTTGTAGTGGGGGGGGGTACTAACAGTGACTGCGGATGACGCCAGAAACATCAGCAAATATGTAGTAATGTCACCAGCACACCAAATCATTTTAGGATAACAAAGTCTTCATTTATTGAAGTTACATGTCATATAAACAATCGCTTTTGGGACCGCACAGGGTCCCTTCATCAGGCTTAGCATTGACATCCTTTCATCAAAAACCTTGTTTATATGACATGTAACTTCAATAAATGAAGACTTTGTTATCCTAAAAGGATTTGGTGTGCTGGTGACATCACTACATATTTGCTGACACAGGCTAGATCTCAAGGCTGACAAACCACAGTACAATAATACAGTGGTTATAATATGTTCTAAAAGAGATAACTCTAACCGTTCTTAATATGAAGCACAGGATACATTTGAATGCATGGGAAATGTGTGAGAGCCCCATTCTCCTCCCAGCAAAGGTTGAGCTTTCACTCAGTGTCTAGATTTATAGGCATAATGATCAGAATGGGCAAGCTTTGTGTAAGCAGGAGGCCAGATTTGTTCTTTGTTCTTCTTGGGTTTTACTTGTGAATGCTGGCATTTTTAAACTTTAATAAGCATGTTTTTATATGATAGACTAAAACTTTAATGGCGTGTGTGATGAGTGGCCACGCCGCTGCTGTACCCCCTTCAGTTATTTTTCCATGACTAACCCCATAACACTGTTAATATTCTTTTCAATATGATAACCACTTTAACTGATTTAGTCATCTCGTTGCATCTATTTTCTTTCTGCTGTGCTGTCGGATGAAACACGTTTTTCAAAGCAGTGCCTGACTCTTGTTTTCTAGCTAGGGGATATTTTGTCCTATTTAATATTCCTGTAGTTGAAGTATAGATTTTTTTTTCCCCAAACCATGAATGTTTCATAAGACAAACAGTTGCGTTTTTTTGTGATTAAGCTTAAATGCAAAGCATAAATCAGATAATGCCAAAATGTGATGACTTCAATAATCAGATACTACTCCCACAAGAAACCATATCACAAAACCTTGATCTGCTATGCCACAATGTTTTAAAAAGGAGCTTGTGCTTTGAATTTATGTATGAATTTGCACTGAGCTTCTATGTTCATTTCAAATGCTGCTTAGAACCAGTACAAATATTTTTCCAACAGTTTACATTTAACCGCTGCTTTAGATATTACTATGAAAGACAGTTATGATGCATTGCAGATGTACCACATCATAACATTTGCTAGGATACTGATTATCTTGAGTTATATGGAAGGGTAGGATGCCATAATTTTGTTATGTTCCTGGTAAATGCAAACCGAAAAGTGCTTTAGTAAGTTTTTGCTTTGACATACTGTATTAGTGTATCTTCGAAACCAGTCTAAACGTGCCCATACAACTTGCGATTATCGTTGGAAAAACTAACGAGATCGGGTTTTCGTATGATAATTGGCCAGTTGATGGGAAATGAACGATCACAATTACTGTACAATTACATCTACCGGGCTTTTTCCAAAATTGTAGAAAATCGCTAGATTAGTGGCGTTTTCGTGTGAAACAAAACGACAGGAACACTGCACATGCGCAAACAAAAGTCCATTCCGTCAATCGACGAAATTCAGTCACTTAGTATTGCTAACAAACGATAGTTGAAATCCACATTGGTCTGCATGATGGGGCAGTCGTGCGGAAATCGAACGACGGTTCGATGACGGCACGATAAAAATCGAACAATAATTGTAAGGTGTATAGCCAGCAAACGTTGCCCTTTTCAACCTCTGACACACACTGAGTCCTATACTCTGTCACAGTTGGCAGATGGACAAAAAGGCATTTGTGGGAAGGGGGAGTGTGCTTCCACTTTAGAAAACATCTGATGCTTTGTGAATCCACTGTCATGGATTCACCTTGTTTTAAATGCCTGTATTACATACATAGAAAGTAGTAAGTCCCTCTGCACTCCTCACGGCGCTCCCGGCCCAAGTTCTTATAGCGGTGCTCGCAGTGACAAACACCGTGCAACAAACAGTGGAAAGCAGAAATCACCAGCACTCAGTAAATATCTTTGATGTTCATTTAATCGGACCAATTGTCATGTACAAAATAGCGATGTTTCGGGACCGCACAGGATCCCTTCATCAGGGCGACAATGTTACATTTCGTACATTGTTGCCCTGATGAAGTGATCCTGTACAGTCCCGAAACGTCGCTATTTTGTACATAACAATTGACGATTGGTCCGATTTTAAAAGGACATCAAAGATGTTTACTGGTGTGCTGGTGATTTCTGCTTTTCACTGTAGTACATTTATGGTGTCTAAATTGTAAAAAATAAACAGAAATCAAAGGCCAGTTTCATTACATAAACTTAAAGAAAAAGAATGGCACAGGACAAGTGCCCCTTCCTCCCCCTGTTTGTTCTAGTAATTGAAACATTGCTTCATAAACTTAGAACAAATCCTAAAGTACACTGTTTTCTGTTTTGCTAAGTTACACAGGATCACAATACGATACACTGAGCATTTTCATGTTAGTGATATCAAAGTCAAAATGTTTTTAAACTATTTCAAATTATGATGACATCACTTACAATGGATGCTGCTCCTTGTTAAAAAGTGTGTTTCCTGACTAATCAGCTGGTCCCCTAAGCACTGGCCCTAATATCCTGTGATAAGGGTTGGTCCCTTGCAGGGTCCTGTGGAGCCACCCTTGTGTGTGCTAGTAAGCTGTGTGTCTCCACAAACAGGCAGGCACAGCAAGGCAAGTCAGTCCCCCTTCCCACATCTCCCCACTTCTCTTCTCTCTCCTCCTTCCTTCTTTCTGCAAGCTAGCAGATGGACACTTGCTGGCGACTGTGCTGTCTCTTGTGGTCTTATACTGGACATGAAGTTTAGGGAAGTGGAGCTGAGAGAGTTTGAGTCAGGTTTTTTGAAACATAACTGTAAGGGCTTGGGGGAAAATGTAAAGGAATACTTGAGTGGGCAATGTATATTTGTTTGATCTGGATTCATTATTGAAAAAAAGATGGAGTTTTTAATATTACTTTAACCATAAGTTTCTTTAGAACAATTAATAATCGGTCATAACCTAGCTGGCTCATGCACCATGGCTCCTTTGTACGCCAAGAGTCTTCTTTAGAAATGACCTCACCCCTAACCATACACACTTTGAGGTTATCGATCTAACTTAGAATGGGGAGAACAGATCTAATAAAACAATTTTAATGGTACACAGACCAAAAGGGAACAAATAAGAGATGTTTATTGTTGGAGTTTACATACACTATACAGTGACAAAAAAAAGGGACACGGGTTCTTCTCACAAGAGCTTGCAATCAAAAAGGAGAAAACAAATTGGTAAAGGGAGTTATAAGTTTTCAAAGTATATAGCCTCTTTATGTAATGTGTCCAATAGTGTGGTAAAGTTCAGGTTGCTGTTTCCAATGTGTTCTTGTTTCCCTTTAAGAGACTGCAGAAGCTCAGTGTGCAACTTTTTCTACTAAACATTTATCTTTTTACGCTTGTTTCTCTGATATAATTTGAATTTTTTTTTTTTTTTTTGTTCACACCCATTTCTTCTTAATTTAATCCTTAATTTATGGATCAGATCTGTGGAGTTCTTCATCAGGGATAAATATGAAAGGAAGAAATATTATGACAAGAATGCTGCAACCACTCTCACTGTAAGTATATATTCATGCTCTCACTCCCTCAGAGATGGCAATAAGTGTACTTTTTGTTTGTTTTATTTTTTTACCCATTCTCACTCATTGTTTTCTAACATTTCACCTTTAAACAAATCTGAATGCATAAGAAGTTGTTTTTTTTTTTTTTTATAAATTAACCATTTTAATTCAGCAGTTTGTAGATTTTGTATCTGTATTCTGTAAACTACTATTGTACATGGATTGTTGAAAAACATTGGTTAGTGTTTGAAGTATATGTTCAGGCAAAACTTTTTTTTTTTTCTCTTAGTTTTGCATAGACAGTAGGAAGTCTTGTCCGGTTTTTACTGCTACATGGGGGTCTGTTACAGAGTTTTGCCCGTATTACTTTTCCTGCTCACAATGTTATATCTGACAAGAAGTAAACAGATGTCTCGAAACACAACACAAAAAAAACATAATATTTAGCTTAATGGATTTGGAGAAGACTAGATCTGTCAAATGTTTTGCACTGGGATCTGGAATACAGGGCAGTTCAAGGGCCCGGTGGGAGGAGTGTCTGACGGGCTCCTGAGTAGGGGGTATAGGGTCCGACGAGTTCCCGCTTGGACTACAGGCCAAGTTCCTTGTAACGAGCAACAAGCAATGAGAGAGGAGAGTCTACTAGCGTGGAGACACGTTGCTTGAACGCTAAACTACAGGTGTGCAAGCTTTTTAACACCTAGGTTCAACGTGGATTGGAAGGAAAGAGTAGCTCAGACAGGGGGCGAAACATGACGCTGGATCAGTGGTACAAGGAACTGTGATACCTGCCAAGAGGTCCACCCACCAAAATCCACGGACTAGGCAAGGAGGGCATTAATCAGAGGCCACAAAGAGACCCAAGATAACCCTGAGGGAGCTGCCAAGCTGCATGGCGGAGATTGGAGTATAGAGCTGCAGCTAACGATTATTTTCAAAATCGATTAGTTAGCCGATTATTAAGTTCGATTAATCGGTTAATCGGATAAACAATAAAATACATTTTAAAAAATGGCTCCAGTGATGGACTACAAGTTTGTATTGAGATTGGAGTCCATCACAGGAGCAAGCTTGGAGCGGTGGAAGTAAAAAAGAAAAAAAATAGTGTGGTGTGCAATATAGTGAAATGGAAAGTGTAAAATTATACAGCAATGAATGGCATCGGCTATAGAGGACTACAAATCCCAGCAATAGTACATTATACAGCGCAATGCAGAATATCACCAGCTATAGAGGACTACAACAAATCCCAGCAATAGTACATTATAGCTGGCGGGATTCTGCATTGCGCTATATCTTTCCATCGGGCCACTTTAAAATGTACACTCCACAGAGGTGTCCTTCATGGAAGAGTGGCCAGAAAAAAGCCATTGGTTACAGAAAAAAAAATAAGCAAACACTTTTGCTGTTCCCCAAAAGACATGTGTGCACCTCACCAAACATATGTAAGAAGGTACACAGATGAAACTAAAATTGAGGTTTTTTTGCCCTCAAGGAAAACACTATGGAGCAAACCCAAGACCTCTCATTACCCCGATAACACCATCCCCACAGTGAAGCATGGTGGTGGCAGCATCATGCTGTGGGGATGTTCTTCATTGGCAGGAACCATCAAAATGGTCAGAATTGAAAAAATTAGGGGGGTGGTGCTAAATACAGTGAAATTATTGAGGGAAACCGGTTTCAGTCTGTCTGAGATTTTGAGACTGGGACAGAGGTTAACCTTCCAGCAGGACAATGACCCAAGGACAAGGGTAGACAACCTTGGCTCTCCAGTTGTGCTGAAACTACAAATCCCATAAGGCATTGCAAAAGCCACAGGCATGACTCCGAGAGGCAGAAGCATGATGGGATTTGTAGTTTCAGCACAGCTGGAGAGCCAAGGTTGCCTACCCCTGCCCTAGGCATACTGCTAAAGCAAGACTCGGGTGGTTTAAGGGGAAACATGTAAATATCTTTGAATGGGGCCTAGTCAAAGCCCAGACTTCAATCCAATTGATAATCTGTGGCATGACTTGAAATGCTGTACACCAGCAAAACCCATCCAACTTGAAGCAGCTCGAGCAGTTTTGCCTTGAACAATGGGCAAAAATCCCAGTGTCTAGATGTGCCAAGCTTATAGTGATGTACCCCAAGAGAGGGGAGAGGTGAATAGTTATGCTTGCTCAAGTTTTTTCAATTTAAATTTTTTTTTTTGGTCTTATTTCTTGTTTGTATCACAGTAAAAAAATGTTTTGCATCTTCAAACTGGTAGGCTAAACAGACCCCTGACATTTTCCTTTTTTAAAATAGAAAAAGAAATTGAGGACAGTCAATTTCCTTTTCTGCAGCCTCAGCACTCAATGAATGGGACGCACTCAGTACAGAGGCTTCCCATTCATTCAGAAACTGCTGATAGTAAATATTTTACTATCACCACTTTCTGAATGGGGCGGAGCCTCTATAGTGAGTGCTTCTCCCCATTGAGAAAATCATGACTGAACAGGAAGTGATATAAATCACATCCTGTTCATTCATAACTGTGGACACATAGTACTATGTGTCCCCAGTTATTTACAAACACTAGAGTGGTCAGACGATCACTCCAGTGTTTGCTCTGCACAGTGGATTGGTAAATATCACTGATAATAATCGATCCCCTGCTCGGCCGCGCAAAGAGCCGCTGTCATCTGGAAACTGACAGGATGACAACGGCTCCGATCTCCTCACCGCTCGGCCATCCTGAAACTTGCGGCTTCTCCCCGCCAGCCGCCGCTCGCTCCTCCGCCAGAGATTTTTTTCGGATCCCCGCTGCCACAGCCCCTACAAGCGGGGGACAGCAGCTGGGATCCATGCAGACACCGATCTCTGCCTGGAGTGCCTCCAGGCAGGGATGAGAGGCTCCAGCTGCAGCGGTCCCGGGTGTGGGAGGCCCGGTATTTTTTTTAATAGCGGTCATCAGTGGCTTGTGAGCCGCTGATGACAGCTATTTTTAAAGGGGACAGTCCGGGAACAGTTCTACTATAAGTTCATGGTCGCTAAAGCGACCTTGAGCTTATAGCAGAACTGTAAATGCCACCGCTGTTTGGCATACCGACCTGGCCAGCTGCAAACCGTATTCCGCCGTATGCCTTACGGCGGTGGCAGGGAAAGGGTTCACGGACAACTTGTGTTGGAGGAGTAAAGCTCTGACAGTGGGTAAAGTAACAACCTTCTGATAACAATTGAGAATTGAAATTAAACGTCTCAGTTTATTCTTCTGTGAGTAAAACGGTAAGTTATTTCCTTAGCTCCCACCTTTTAGGGAGGATGCTGAACATGCACCAAAAATGTCTAGGCAGAGTTTCCAGTTTGCTTTTAAATGTTGGTCAATGGTTATATCCAACTTATAACTTAGTAAAAAAGAAACTGTTCAAATATTAGCAGTTCATGTTGGGCCATGTACGCTCTCTAAAACCAATGTCTTTTCAATATGTTGGATTAAAAATGAAATGTTGTAATTGATGTATAGTAGTGTCCATATTATGTATGGTCCTCTTATGCTGCTTATTGTGCTTATGTTTGTACTGAATCACACAGGCTTTATGGAACTGATTTAATGAATTGACTTCTAAAGTTACAGATCTTCTAGTCAGCTCAAGTAAAAGTTACAGATCTTCTAGTCAGCTCAAGTAAAGAGTTTTTTTGCCATGTGATCTAATTTTTAAATCTTACAACCAGAGCACATGTTTTTAAGGGTAGTTGTTCCCTGTTTTTGGTGTGGCATTTTTGTATCTGTGCAACAGTGGAGTTTTTTTTTTTTCCCTCCAATTTGAATTACATTTGTGTAATTGTCAGGCATATTGTGTAACCCAAGCCCCACCCCGCTAGGTTTCATTTTAATTAAAAAGTCAAGGCCTTATATTAAGTTGTGCCTTTTAAAAGAGAACTATGGGGTAAGTGTTTTCCCCCATAGCTCTCTTTAGGGTCACGGGAGGACATATACAAAATCCTCCCATGCCCCAAAGGTCAGTATATCACAGGCTATTGCCCGCGATATACTGAGAGTGCCGAGGCCGGGACGGATCTTGACAATACTGCCTCGATCCACCCAGCTGCGTGAGTGACAGCGGGCTCTGCCTATATAGAGGCTGAGCCAGCTGTGCCCGCCCCATTCCCCGTCCGTTCCTCTAGTCAGCGCTAGAGGATTGGGGAGGGGAGGGGGGGGGGATCCCTGCGGGGATCGGTGACTGACAGTCACTGCTCACTGCAGAGAGACGTTCGGGAAGTGAACGAGCGCCGGTATGTGTTCGCTCACTTCCTGATCGATAGAGCCGATCTGTGACAACTTATTTGTCATCACTCACCTCGTAGTTCAAGTATTTTTATTAAAAAAAAAATGTTTCTGGTTATGCCATTGTATAATACTATACTATATTATACTACTCTAAAGTTAGCATGCATACAGTAGTGCATCTTTCTTAGTGAATATTCTCTAGCATTAGGAAGTAGAACTATCAGATACGTTCTTGTCATTAGTACTGTAGCGGCAATGTATAATCCCAGTATACCAGCAGGCAACTATTCTCCAGGGGTATTGCTGTATTCCTCAGAGTTTTCCTGATATTTTGTAGAGCCCAGAAAAGAAAAGGGTGAAAACCACATTACTATGTATTATGTTCTAGGCCATTTGCTGACATGCTGATATATGGTAGACATCTTTCAGCTTTCCTAATACCCTGCCCCGTTCATGAATCTTCTGCTGTTAATTTGTAAGTCTTGATTTAGACAGTACTGCAAGAAAGGTAAAGCAGGCAAACTGGGAAAGTTGTCTTATTATTATACAGGATTTATATACAGGTGAAACTCTAATAATTAGAATATCGTGAAAAAGTTCATTTATTTCACTAATGCAACTTAAAAGGTGAAACTAATATATGAGAGACTCATTTTCATCAATCATCAATTGTGATGATTATGGCTTACAGCTCATGAAAACCCCAAATCCACAATCTCGGAAAATTAGAATATTACATGCA